CAGTATATGTATATTATATTCAGTATATTATTTGTAATTTTCTTTATTATTTTTGTATATATTTTTTCATAGGGTATTTATTCTTTTAAAATGTTGATTTCTATTGAAGGCAGCTTATATCCTTTTCTTTTGATAATAATAAAACTTAATAATCGATTAGTGTATAAGTTTTCTACTACCTTATTATTCAATTTACCTGTCTTATATTATCTATTGTTTAGATCTAACTTTTGTAGTAATTCTATTAAAAATTTATATTATCTTTTTACTTAAAACTTTAAATTTTAAGTAGGCTTCATTCTTCTAGTTTTTTTTTGATTTTTACACCCAGTAATCTTATAAACTTGCATGTCTTTACGTTTTATACAATGTTATAAATATTTTTAAGTTTCTAGTTATGTTGATATAATCAAGATTATAAATATTCTAACCTGATTGATAATAAAGAACTATATACTACGTATAACACAGAACAGAAATTGAATATTTTGTATCTAGAAGGATTCAAACTCTAGTCTGTTACCTGGGATGACAACCAAATCCAACATACTAACCAATGCATTATATTACTATAAACCGAATCAATATTTTAAAAAACTTATTTGCAAAAAAAATATAGTTTAATATATTATAAACTTTTTTTAAAGTATAAATTAATACAAAAAATATTTAAAATAAAATCAAAATATATAGATTTCCAATACTAAACAAAAAGTTTTTAATATAAAACTTAAAAGACCATTAAAAATTAGTAATTATAAATAACTACTAACTACTAAATATCTATAACTAGTAAATAAATATAACTAATAATTATTTATTACCACTACAGTCGTCCTCCTATATAATCACACAGCTGGACACTAGGGTTGTTAATGGGTTGGGTTGGGTTGGGTTGATCCAATTCTTAACCCACTCCAGTAAATTAGACTTACTCCAGCATTTTGCTCCGGGTTGCTCCATAGCTACTCCGGGTTGCTCCAGGTTGCTCCAAACTTAAAAATAAAAATTTAAACCCACTCCAACTTGGGTTGGGTTCTACTCCAGAGTGCTCCGGAGCAAGCTACTCCATTAACAACCCTACTGGACACATAGTAAATTTTTTTAAAAATATACTTATAAAGGAGCTGTGCTTATATGAAGGGCTATTCTTATAAATTAAATCATAGCTTAGCCTAAACATAAACATGATTACATATGATGTAATTATATGGGAGGTGATTATATGGAAGGAAGATTGAAGTACAAGTTAAAAATAATTATTTGAATTAATTTAATTTACAAAAATTATAAAAACAAAATACACTTTACCCTCGTTATAGCGGACCCCTATTGAACAGAATCCCCAATTATAACGGAGTGATTATCTAAAACATTTTAAAAATTACTATACTATATGATGAGGTAGCGGATATTCATTATAACGGATGGAATCTCTCAACCCGATCACTCCGTTATCTCAGTTATAACGAGAGTAAAGTGTATATTAACCTTAAATCAAGATCTTTTTACAAAGTAATTTGCTAGCAATCGAGATATTGCTTAGTTTAAATTAATTGAAGTAATCCGTATAATGCTTTTGCTGAGAATTCATTATGAGAAATGCAGATTTTAAATTTTATCCAATAAGCAAATTAGAGTAGCTCTAAAAAAAGCTGGTTGTTAAAACTGATATTTTATTTTGACTTAAATGATTGTCGTTATCATTGCTAGAACTTAGATCCTTTATCCTTTTTCGTATTAAATTTAATGGATATCTGACGGATTAAATTATAGAGAAAAGTATTTGAAAACAGCCTAAAATAAAGAACTTATCTCTCTATGAAAACTTTAATCACTATGTCATACATTTGGTAGTGATCAAATATATTAGTAAACTTAATATAAAAAAAAAATGTTAAAGTTGTTATTGGGTTTCTGATAATAAAAATTATATTATCATAAATTTTATTTTGTTGATTCTTTATTATCTGCTGGAAGGTGAGGCATAGGAATATCGCCTAAATCATCTTGCTTAACTGCCATGATTGAATATGTGTCTTTGTTTTTTAGTAAACAAAGTCAAAGATGACAATGATAACGATAATTCCTCATGTCATTAGTCTTAACTCCAGAGAATAATTAAAGGATACACACGGCCCCAGTAAATCCTAATAGGAGTAACCCAGTTATAACATTACGAACAAAGAATGGTCTTCTTGCGCGTTGAAGCGCCGGTGACTGACTATATCCTTTAGCTTGATGATACCGTGAGGGTGGAAATAACGCCATATCTGCAAAAAAGATGTTTACTTTAAATTTTAAATTAATATAAACGAATTGTTACAAACCCATCAAGATATCAAATAAATATTACCTGAGGGTTAATCTCTACCCAAAGTATTATCCCTACTAAACGCTAAGTAAGGGTTTATTTGGGCTAGGTGCTACAGAAAAGGGGGAAATTGACAAATTTTTAAAATTCATTTTTCTATATAAATTAAATTAAAATACAATCAGAATCGTTTTTTACTTAAACCTCAAAAGTAGTTTTATTAATAAAAGTTGCTCTTCAAAATTTATAATTTTTATAGCTTATTATAAAATTTATATAACATAAAAATATATTTTCCAAAGGTCTTTTTTTTGTTGATTTCCCCCTTTTCTTTAGCACCTAGCCCATTTTATAACATCAAAAAATCATAAGATTTTACGATATAGATAATCTATCAATCAAAAAGAGATAACCACGGGAATTTATAACATATCTATCCAGCTCTTTTTGAAGGAATTGGAATTAGTTAGTATGCATGAATGAGATTAATCTTTTAGGTTGGTTAAGGCAGACCAGCTTAGCTGGATCATATTATTATAGATAAATTTTAGAGAGTTCTAAGTGATTCTGTAAGTCGTTAGCCGATATTTTAGTTGGCTGCTGTGCCAATAGAATTAACCGCACATAATGCAGATTAGAGTTTGGAACCGGTTTTATTTTTCTTATGTTAAATCCGATTAAAACCGGTTTTAATCGGATTTAACATAAGAAAAATA